CAGGACAGGAGATGAGCGTCATTTGGCTTGGCGTTGCTGTCAAGCAAGCAGATCGGGTCGAGCCGCAACGCCGCACCGCAAACATCATCGACGCCGCCGGCGCAATGGTTTCGAACAGAGCCATTGAGAGCAATTGAGTTCCCAAGACCCGATTGCAATTGCGGGTTCAATTTGCATGCCCAACACCGCCGCGGCTACCTCCCACGTGTCGTTGCTTCTTCCTGCAGATGCCTCCTTCACTCACACATCTGATTCATGAACCCGGCCTCATAGTCTCTCCATGTTCCTAATCCTGTCCTGCTGCAGCGCATTATTCAGGTTTGTCCTTTCTTCTCGGCGCCTTGGCTGCACCATTATCGATTTCCTTGCCGCCCGTTCCGCGAGGCACCAGCCCATCCATCTCGTGCTGCCCTCGTGGTGAGCGCGTGGTTTTTCGACTTGGAGGGTGGGCGATGCTGCTGCTTGATGCAACTGTATGCACTGCGGTCCAGCCCTAGGCTGCGGTCACGGGTGGGCAGGCTGCACAATTGTTACTCAGCTGCCAAGTGCCGTGCGGGAAACCTGCATCTGCTCGCGTGCCGAATCATACGCAGCGCTCCGTGGAGTTGGGATGGAGGGCTTGAGGAGGCAGTGGGTGCGATGTTGAGGAATAAGGTTGCACGCCCCATTCATAGCCTCCCCGGATTGATTGCTGCAGACCGGATGGATCAGATTGATGATGGATACTCTGCGGGGAAAGGCGGGGGATCCAGTCGTTCGGATCATCTTTACCTCGGGCAGTCCCTCACGGAAAAACATCTCCAGGTCTTGGGGCCTTCCAGAAGCTCGAACCTCATCGGGTATTTTCAACCGGCAATATTGGTATACCCACCTAATTCCTTCAGCTGAGCACTGAACCAGCGGAGAAACCCGTTTCAAGAAGCCTCGTCAGGGCCATCGTGGAGACAGGCAGCGAAGAATCAGTCAGTGCGGTAACATCCATCTCATTCCAGCGCCGCACCAAAGGCCCAAAGGTGGGGAGGCAGTGCGCAGGCACGTTTCCCAAGAGCGCTTAGAAGCGCGGCTGCGCAAGAGCCTCTTCTTGTCGCAAAGAAGCAAACTCACCCAATCGGCTGCCAAATCGGTCACGTCAACCCTTGTGTTGGTGCTATTCCGTTGCGGGAGATATCGAACGCCTTGGCTTCAAGAGTCGCCAGGCTACGGGGCATTATCTGCATTTCCGTTGATAGTAACGCCGAGTCTAGGTCTGCACAGACGGTGGCAGTGGGAGGTAGCTCAGGGGCCAAGTCGGGGATAGAGGCTAGGGTTCGCCAAGGGCAGGAAGACGGAAACTGGGGAAACTGGTTGTGATGTGGTTTGCTTGCGGCATCGACGGCTGCCCTCGAGACGTCGAGACGTGTGCAGTCAGTAATCGACGCATTGTGTTGACTTTGCAGCCCAGCAGCAGAAACCCAGCCCTCTGCTGCCGTGACGATTGTGGAGCCTGGAAAGGGGGGAGGTGCACCTGCCAACTTGCCTGGAAATGGAATGCTACCTCGAACGTATCCGCCAAGAAAAGCTTAATCCGATCAATTCCCTCTTCAGTTGACGACCGCAGCTGCGAGCTCCGACTCTGTCGACACCCAAGAAAGAAGAAAAAGTGGGTGTGATACGCCGCAGGATGGGGGCTGACTGAAGTCCGCACAGCTAGGTTGCTACATTTCTCGAGGGCGTGGGCCAATCCGAAGTGCATCGCGACGCCAGTTCGAGGCGCATGGCAGAAAGCTACCTGCGGAGTCGACACCCAAGCCCTTCTCCACGACTATGCCGCTTGGCGAGGGGTGGACCCGTCTCAGCGGCTTCTTCAGCGGGCACGTTAGCTCTCGTTCGACTCAGCGGCTTTGAGTAAAATGGCCACATGAAGTTTGGAAGGCCCTTGCTGCGACGCAACCTTACGTTTGTTACCTATTGACGTCGTCGTGGAGCAGCAATGCTTCGCGTGTGTCACGGTAGACGAGCTGTGCGACCGGGTTTCGGCTCATGGCGGGGGAGGTGCAAACATGGCTACCTGGAATGCACGCCGCTGCAGTTAGTTGCTCGCCGCTATGCGATGCGCAGTCGAGGGTGGTGAAGCAGAAGAAGTTGGCAGAGAAAGTGGCAGGCTGTTGGTGCAACCACACCCGTCAACGGCACCTGTTGGTGTCCAACGTCCAGTCAGAAGCTGAATCCCTGCTGACGGCATGCAAGACAACGTCGGGACACACCCTGCCTTGAAGGCCGGTGTCAGCTCCCGGGCCCGGCTACCAAAACTCATGATCCCCTGTCTTCGCATTGCCTAGCGTGCTCCCAGGTCGCATGGCCGATCTTTGGAGCTCTCCGTCCCCTCTGCTACTTATTATGGGGCTCCCCCTTCCTCTCCACATGCTTGTCTTCTTTTTCTCCCCTCTGGACGAAGCTTGGGTGTTGTGTTGTGTTTTGTTGTGTAGGTCAAGCGTTGACTTCTTTGAACTGAACGTCATGCCCACGACGGCTCTTGGTTTGTGAGATACTACCGAGGCTTTCTGCGGTCTGCTTGGCTGGCTCTAGATTCCCTTCTTGAGTTATCCCACCAACCCCTCCGGAAACCCCTGCTCGTTGTTCTCTCAAGATGGGCATGGGCACCGTGGGCTTTGTGCCCATTCAGGGCACGGCCGACTTGTCGAGGATCGAAGCTCCCGTCACTGTCAAGGCCTACATGATTTGTGCCTTCGCTGCCTTTGGCGGTGTCTGTAAGTTCCATCATTCATTCCGTCTATCATTTTGAGCTGTACTGACTTGCAATCCAGTCTTCGGCTATGACACGGGCTGGATGGGAGGAGTAGCTATTATGCCTTACTTCGTCAGCATGTACATGGGCATCCCTTACAACTACGAGACCAACGAACCCAAGAACTTTGCCCTGCCGTCGTCGACCGTTTCTCTCATGACTTCGATTCTGTCCTGCGGCACCTTCTTCGGCTCGCTCATTGCTGGAGACCTTGCTGATTTCGTCGGCCGGCGCACTACAATCATCTCCGGCTGTCTTGTCTTCTCTGTCGGCTGCATCATGCAAGTCATCTCGACCAACCAACTCGTCCTCTTTGTCATGGGCCGTCTTGTTGCGGGCCTCGGTGTTGGCTTCATCTCGGCCGTGATTATTCTCTACATGTCTGAGATTGCGCCCAGGAAGGTTCGCGGCGCTTTGGTTTCGGGGTATCAGTTTTGCATTACGCTGGGCATCTTGCTGGCGAACTGCGTTACGTATTCGACCTCGGGAAGGAGTGACTCGCTGTCGTACCGTATTCCAGTGGCCATGCAGTTTCTCTGGGCTATCATCTTGGGCGTCGGTCTTTATCTCTTGCGTGGGTTACCCTTTCTTCTCCCAAATTGGACCTCTCCTAACAACACCAGCCGAATCACCACGTTACTACGTTCAAAAAGGCAAACTCGACCTCGCCGCCAAAGCCCTGGCCATCGTCCGCGGGCAAGCCGTCGAATCCGAGTACATTAAAGACGAACTGGCCGAAATCGTAGCCAACCACGAGTACGAGATGCAAATGATACCCCAGACCAGCTACATCGGTTCGTGGATGGCCTGCTTCCAAGGCTCCATCCACAAGGGCAACTCCAACCTCCGCCGCACCCTCCTCGGTGCCGGGATGCAAATGTGCCAACAGCTCACGGGCATAAACTTCATCTTCTACTTCGGCCCCGTCTTCTTCAACCAGATCAAAAACGGCCCTAATCCCTTCCAAACCACCCTCGTAACCACCCTCGTCAACGTCCTCTCCACCCCCCTCTCCTTTTGGACCATCGAAAAGTTTGGCCGGCGCATCCTCCTCCTCACCGGCGCCGTCGGCATGATCGTCGCCCAGTACATCGTCGCCATCCTCGGCGTCACCGCCGGCGCCGAACGCCCCGACGGCTCCCACAACGAATCCGCCATCAAGGCCATGATCGCCTTCATCTGCATCAACATCTTCTCCTTTGCCGCCACATGGGGCCCCGTCGGCTGGGTCACCGTCGGCGAATCCTTCCCTCTCCCCATCCGCTCCCGCGGCGTGGGCATCTCCACGGCGAGCAACTGGTTCTGGAACTGCATCATCGGCACCATCACCCCCTTCATGGTCGGCAACGACCAAGGCGGTCTCGGCTCAAGCGTCTTCTTCGTCTGGGCGACGCTCTGCTTCTTATCTCTCACCTTTGCATATTTCCTGGTACCTGAGATGAAGGGTCTTACGCTGGAACAAATCGATCAGATGATGGAGGAGGTGGAGCCGCGCAAGTCGAGAGGGTGGGTTGCTACGACGACGTTTGCGGCGGAGATGGGACATTTGCGGCCGGAGAAGGGGAATTATCTGGTTAGTCCGCACTTGCCGACGACGCCGGCGGAGTTTCCGGAGGATGGGGCGAGGGGGTTTAGGGAGGAGTTGCCGGGGTATGATCGGGCTTATTTTCCGAGATGAATGATATCAGAGAAGTGAAGGGGGAAATTTTGGGTGGCTATTTGCTTGTGGTTTTGGAGAAGAGTTTCTAATGGTTAATACCCAGGTGCAGATGGAGGTGCATGGGAAAAGAAAATACTTGGAGGGAAACTGTATCATAATCCTACGACTACGACATACCTATTCACTAGATACCTACTGTCAAGCATTTAATATGACATGCTAATACCCACCCACCTCATTCCATGTCAAACTTATGATGTGTATTCAGTTCAAGATCGAAAGGGAACAAGTCGTTCTCAGGATGTGGATGGCCCCTGAACGACGAGCACGAAGGAATCTGCACAAACAAACGGTGGAAGTTCCAAGAAGAAGGTGAGACATGTCAAAACAAAAAGCAATGCTGTACCTGCATGAAGAATGAAGAAGAAAAAAGAAAACAAAAAAAGACCCTGAAGATCCCCTCCATAGTAGGCACAGGGGGGGAAGGAAGGAGAAAATAGAAAAGAAGCAAAAGCAACCAAAAAAAACATACTCGCATGTCGTCGACGGGAATTGAGCCCGACGTGGGGGTCGAACCCACAACCTTGAGATGATCTCATGAGAGTCCACTCTGTAAGAGTCTCACGCTCTACCGATTGAGCTAGCCGGGCGAGGTGATTTTGGTTGAGAGGATGTGGGGGGATTTGAGGATTTAGTGTAGGGTAGGGTAGGGTTTGAGCATGGAGCCAAGGCGGGTTGGATGAAAAGGTTTGGTTTTGCTGTGGGTACCTGGAGAAGAAAAGGGGACGGTCCACTTTGAGTGAACTGTTGTGGAGAGGATGGAACGCGGGAAAGCTTGTTTGTGCTTGTTGGGACTTGTTTTGGGGGTACTAATCAAGAGGTTGCAAGCCGCTTTCGTGCGAGACTGACGCATATTTGCTCGACTGCAGAAAAGTAGCAGGACAAGTCAAATTCTACCGCCTTCGGAATACAGTACCACCGGTTCTCTTCCACTCCATGAGAGCGCCAGACAACAGATGTCGTCAGAATTTCGGCACCAAGCAATAAACGTCCACATGTCCCAGCAACTGCTTCGCCACAATGGGATTGCCTGATCGTAACACCTGAGACCTAGGACAGTCTCCATATTACCCGGCAAACAGCAGAACCACCCCTGTTGACCGCCACAACGCCTAGCCAACCACTGGGGCAAGAACTCACGCGGTCAACATGAGAGAGCAAAGGTAGCGAGTGAAGCACTAGCTACACCAACGGGTGAAAGCAGCTCGCTTCAACCTAACCGTGCATGGTCGCACCCGGAACCTGGTTCTTCTCTCTGATCTGCTCCAGAATTAGCACTCGCCATATTGGCGATCCAATGGGACGGGACTTGAAACAATATCGAGACATCTTGACAGCCCTCGAGCCTCTGGTATGGACAGCCCATTGTGAATACCACATCATAAGATTGCAGCCAGCCGGCAACAAGATATGATCCGCGTACAACCCCCTGCGCTTGCGAGTGGTACGGAGAGTGAGCACTGCCTCACGGTAGATCGTCTGTTGATATCTGATATCTCCCCTGAACTCCATTCCAGCCAGTCAGTCAAGTACATTAGACCTCGACAAGCCTCGTCAAACGCTCAACAACCAGCTTCACTCGAAGCCACCTCCCACCCTCCCTTCCCATCACAGTCCAGCAACAACCCTCACCACCAAAATGAAGCTCCCAACCTCCATCCTCCTCCTCCTCTCCCTCCTCACCCCCGTCCTCACCACCCCCACCCCATCCCTCCACGACTTTGAACAATCCTACCTCAACACCTTCTCCTACTCCCTCCCCAACATAACCAGTAAGTAAACATCGCAGCGATCTTCTTCCCCTTTTATCTCTTTTTCCCATTGTCTCAGGATCAAACCCTCTCAAGGCTCCCAAGACAACAGAAAATCTTCCCAAAAAGGAGACGGTGAACTGATACTTCCCACAGTCAAACTAATCGGCTACAAAAAAATAATAATGTCCCCCACCGAACTCTCCGACCTCGAACACGCCATCGCCACCCGCCCCTCCGAATGGGCCTCCATCACCTCCGCCCACTACGACCCCGTCGAGCGCGCCATGCGAGTGTACTTCCCCGTGCAGCGCGCGCTTGTGCGCCACAAGGGGGAACTAGTCGAGGCGAGCGACCTCGGGGAGCTGGAGCATGAGCGCATTGAGGGGGATTGTGCGGTGGTAGGGAGGTATCAGACGGAGGAGGTGAGAGGGGTGAGGAATAATCGGGTGGAGGGGGGGCTGATTTGGTTGAGGGAGGAGAGTCAGGTAGTGAGGAGGTATGGGGAGGGGGGGAATTTGCATGTTTATGATTTTGGGTGTAAGTTCCTTTTCTTTTTTTTTCTCTCTTGCCTGGTACCAATCTTGAGGAAGGGGTGGTGATGGGGGGTGGGCAATGCTGACTTCGTTCAGGGCGACATGGGATGCATTCGCATGAGCATGGCGAGGATGGAGCGCTGGTAAGGAGGAAGGATGGGGATGGGGGCAGTTGCTTCCAGAACCACGGCGGGAGGGTCTGCTCGATTGTGTATGGGATTAATGAGGGGCGGTGTACGAGGCCGAAGGGGACGATCAAGGAGTGCATTGATTATAACGGGTGGCCGTTTAAGAATTGTAAGAATCACAGCGACAAGAAGGCGTTTCCGATGAGCGATTGTTTTGTCGCTGTGGCGAGGGGGCATTGCTGGAATGAGGTCGAGGATGCGCTGCATGGGGACAAGTAGGGGTATCAAGTAGCAGCAACTGGGACAAAAATTGATTGCTTTGGGAAAATTGAGAGAAATAGATGCAGATCTTGGAATTGAACTGCGCCGAGAAAACTCGAGTGGTGACAACACGCCGAGACGGCAGGAGCAAAAGGCACAAGACCTGCCGTAGTTCCGCATGTCGGCTGCGGAGAGGGGCAACCCCGTCGGCCGCCGGCGTGAGTCACTTTCTCAAAGCAACGCGCTGAGCTCCAGACGGGATAGCCCATTGGTTTGAACACCGTCGTACACAGTCCCGGCAGTGACGCGATCTGTGGCCACGGAATCCACCCGGCCGATTTGGGACAGCAGCGGAGGCTTGGTAGATGTTGGGTTGCCCGAGCCGCAGTGGAGTTGGTCCGTCGGTATAAGACCAGCAACCAGCTTCACTGTTTGAGCCTGAGGATTTAGGGCATCAGCGTTGAGCTCATATTCGGATTTTTCTTTCTCTCCTTCCGCACTGTTTATTTACCGCACCGAAGACGAGGTTCGAGACATTGAACGAAAAAGGCACGATGACGTCAATGGCCGCCGAGTCGGTGTCGACCATTTTGGTGTCGTGCAAACAAACCCGGTTCCATATCGAGAGCCCGAATTATCGCGAGGTATGTACTCCCAGTTATTTTATCTTGGCACTTCAGATCAAACCAACGATTTGGCCAGCTCGACATCGAAGGCCTGAACATCACCGTCACCTCTGGAGAAGGAGGGAAAGCATCGGCCAAGGCAAGGGGCAAGGCCAAAGCCTCTGAGGGCACCGAGGTTCTCAGCAATGCAAAATTGCGACTCAAGGCCGGCAGCCGGTATGCCCTCATCGGTCGAAATGGGTCGGGAAAGTCGAGTGAGTTTTCTGTCATGTTGTCAACAAGGGGTCAAAACTAATGGCGGCAGCCCTTCTGCGAGCCATTGCTGAGAAGCTGATCCCCGGCATCCCTGAGAAAACAAGAGTGGCAATCCTGCAGCAAACCAATGCCAGCGACGCAAACACTGAGCCTCTACCCGGGTCATCTGAAGCTGCTAGCGGCCCGACAGTACTGGAGGATGTCATTGACAAGGCCACGGCGAGGAGCGAGCTTGAGCAGGAGATCCACGCACTTTCAGATGGCGTGAACGGCTCCGACTCGCTCGGTGCTCTGCGGGCTTTGAGAAGGCTCCGTCATGAGAGGATGCAGAAGAGGCTGTTCATCCTCGACAAGGACGCGAGGTTACGGAGTGGTGCAAGAGGGCTACAGGCTCGCAAGGCTTTGTCCGAGTTTGAGAAACAGATTGCAGAATCCGCCGCCTTGTAAGTCCCTCACACAACTCCTGAGGGGTGTCTCGAATTGCTTCAAAGACCAAGAGCTGACAGAGCCAGGGTGGAACAAGCCGAAGACGAGATTTCGTCAGAAACACTGCAGGCCGAGATTCAAGAAGCAGCTGATATGCTCGCCGAACTCCAAATCCAAGTTGAGCCCTCTCGTCTTGCTGACATCGAGTCTCGCGCAAAGAAGATTCTCGCTGGTCTCGGCTTCACCGACGCCTATCTCACCCGCCCGGCCTCCTCCCTCTCTGGTGGATGGCGAATGCGCAAAGCCCTCGCCACAGCCTTGCTGCAGGAAACGGACATTCTGATCCTCGACGAACCCACCAACTTTCTTGACCTCCTCGGCATCATCTGGCTCCAGCGGTATCTCCAATCCATCGCCGAATCATCAGACACTCCCCCAACCCTGATCCTCGTTTCTCACGACCGAGACTTCATCGGCCTCTGCACCGACCTCCTGATCATCAAAGACAAAGACCTCGTCTACTTCCACGGTGACCTCCCGACCTACGAAGCCGCGCAGTCGGAGCGCCGCCTCCATCTCACCAAGATGAAAGAAGCCCAAGACAAGCAAAAAGCCCACATGCAAGACACCATCCGCCAAAACATGGCCCAAGGCCGCAAAGCCGACGACCAAAACAAGATCCGCCAAGCCAAATCCCGCCAGAAGCGCCTCGACGACCGCATGGGCATGAACGTCTCGGCCAAAGGTGGCCGCTTCAAGCTCAACCGCGATCTCGCAGGCTACCACTTTTCCGCCCGCTCCGAGATTGAAATCCCCCCCGAAGAACGCCCCGTCACCATCACCCTCCCCTCCCCTCCGGACCTGCGCTTCCCCGGGCCCCTCCTCTCCCTCGAATCCGTCACCTTCCGCTACCCTCCTCCCCGCGGTTCTAAGACCCTCCCTCCCCCCACCCTCTCCGACATCACCCTCTCCGTCCACATCGGCGACCGCATCGGAATCCTCGGTCTCAACGGCGCCGGAAAATCCACCCTCATCCGCCTCCTCGTCGACGAATCCAAACCTACCCGCGGCACCATTACCAAACACCCCCGTCTCAAACTAGGCTACTACTCCCAACACGCCGTCGAAGCCCTGCAATCCCTAGGCCGCTCCGAACCCGACCTCACCGCCCTGTCCCTGCTCACCCGCGAAATCCAAGGTGACCTCGACGAAGGTGAGATCCGCGGGCTTCTCGGCTCGCTTGGCTTGCCAGGACGTGTAGCCTCTGATATCCCCGTGGTGAAACTCTCCGGTGGACAGCTCGTAAGGTGTGAGTTGGCGAGGATCTTGTGGAAGAGACCGCATTGTCTTGTGCTGGATGAGGTGACGACGCATTTGGATTATGAGACGGTTACGGCGCTACGGGAGGCGTTGAGGGACTGGGAGGGGGCGGTGGTGCTGGTTAGTCACGATAGGTGGTTTATGAGGGGGGCGATTGAAGGGCTAGTGGATGAGGGGGGGAGTGAGGATGAAGAGGAGGAGGAAGAGGAGGAGGGGGTGGTGAGGAGGAGGGTTGTGCACCGTTTAAGACAGGGCAAGATGGCGGTTTTGGAGGGAGGTGTGCAGGA